GTACTTGTTTTCAATTAAATAAGGATTGGCATATGATAATCTCTGGAATTATTTACATGATTCTAGATGTCAGGGGAATAGACGTTAGCAAAATTATTTGACCGCAATCACCACGGTCATTCAGACTCTTTGCTGGGAACAGAAATCACCATGGTTGTAGGATACCCCAGCCAGGATGGTTGATTTTTCACATTCACTGGGTTGTTAGCATTAGAGAAACACAGTTTCACTCTAATCAGAGAAAGCATAAAAAATAAAAGGTGTCATTACCAGGCCACCATTAGTAATGCATGCAGAATCTAGGATCAAGAAGGTGTTACTTCCTTTGGAGCCAAGGCTCATGTTTCCAGTTGGAAGGTACCCTTTGATGGTGGAGCTGTCTGCCCATGAATCGGTGTACAACCATTTACTCAGGGGGTTGAACTAGACCGGTTGAAAAATTAGATAATGAGGGAACATAAATAAGCCCACAAGCAGTGTAGACGAGCTAGTCCAATGGCTCAGTTCCCTTTCTCACTGAAGATTCTGTGAGTGAGTATTTGATGAATCAGGAGCCACAGCACATCACCTGCTCATCTTTGCTCTTCTAAAACAGCTGGAGTTTGATGTGACAGCCACAGGAGAAACTGCTGCCTCAGGAAATGCTTTGCCTTTGACTGATGGCTGAACGGCTGGCAAATTAATTTTGGCACCTTTCCTTAAGTCACTATGGTCCAATTCCTTCATTTTTCTGCTGGGCAGTATGTACATTACATTACAGTTAAAAAATACCTTCACAACACAAATGTGTAGAATAGCATGTACTATTTTGGGAAAGAAGTTATAGGCTGGGCTGGTTCCATTTTGTAGAGTAGAAAGGATGCCATCATGCCCTTTATCTGATATGTCATTTGCAAATATCTTTTCCCATTCCCTCGGTTCGCAACTCAAAATTAATGTAATCCTCATTGGCCTCTCACAAGGTCACAGGCTCCAGGGTTTAAGATTTTGAGTCCTTGGCGAGCTTCTGTTCTGGTATTTCCCCTCTTAAGTACTCATATACAGCAAATCCATCCCAACACCCAAGATTCTAGCACCACTCCTTTCTTATATATTTACCGTGTCATCTCTAGCAAGAGAGTATGAACTCTGAATCTTATTCATACCAACAATTGGCTTTGTGACCTTTAGTATGTTACTTAACCTCTCTGTGCCTCAGTTTATTCCTCTGTAAAAGGGAAACCATAATGATAACTTGTTCCACCTTTTCCAGATCTCTTTGTTCATTGCCATTTTCTCTTGGGTGAGGCACAAATGTTTTCAACTCAGCATATATTACACTTATTTTTCCTTTCTTAAGAATGCATTTCTTGGGGTGCCTGGGTGACTCAGTCAGTTAAGCTTCCAACTTCAGCCGAGGTCATGATCTCACAGTTCCCTGAGTTTGAGTCCTATATCGGGCTCTGTGTTGACAGCTCAAAGCCTGGAGCCTGCTTCAGATTCATTCTGTGTCTCGGTTTCTCTCTGCCCCTCTCCTGCTTGCACTCAGTCTCTCTCTCTCTCTCTCTCTCCCTCTCTCTCTCAAAAGTAAAAATAAACATTAAAAACAATTTTTTAAAAAAAAAAAAGAATGCATTTCTTCACTGCTGACAAAGGTAAAATAATATGTACTTTCATTTTTGTTTTCTCCAAGTCAGTCAAAAGATGCCAGGTTTGAGACTTAGAAACATAAACCTTGGTAAGAAGTGATAGACAATTTGAGCCCTTGCCTTGGGATGAAGATTGACCTTCTATTGTCTGAGCCTGCAGTGTGCTATGGTGTCAGTGTCCTGGGCTGGAGCTCATTCCCTGATTTCTCCTGATGTGATTGGCCTGCTCTTATTGTTGACCTGTCACAATTTGTTATTCTTGCCCTTAGGGATTAAAAAGTCTTACTATTCATTATAATTACAGGTTCTTCTGCTCTTACAATTATAGATATTTCACTGTTCGTACAGAGCCTGACACGGGGCCTGAACTCAGGAACAATGAGATCGTGACCTGAGTCAAAATCAAAATTAGTATGCTCAACTGACTGAGCCACCCTTGCGCCCCAGAACACCTTTTTTAGGAATCTCAAAAACATGTTGACTTATCTATATGGAAATACTGTTAAAGATGTGCCAATCGTAAGCAAAAGTTTAGGGCAATGAAGTGAAACTTCTCAGTGTTTAAACAGTCAATTCAGTGCTACTCTCTCTAGCATTGTAGATGCCATCTGAGAATCCACAGATGGATGTAGAAGAGGCATTTTGCTTTCCAGAAAATTTCTGTATGTTTTTTCCAGTTATTTGACATTGAATCTCTTAAGTGTTTTTGATCAGCCACAAAGGCAAAACCTGCAGAAAAAGAAATACGGGAAAAAAAATCAGTAAAAGTCAGATACATCTGGTTAGATATCTTAGCTAGATATATCTGATGCTTCTTCCAGAAAAGAGAAAAAAATGGGAAAATAAACACCATTTAAATAAGATTTAATCAGCAACTAAAATAGGTCCTGAATAGATACTGAATATGCTCAATAAATATTTGCAGAATGAGTAACTGAAAAATGTTTGCTATGTTCAAAGCCAACATAAATGATATTATTATCCTGCAAAAAATTGTTTCTACATAGTAAAAATGGTTAATGATTAACCTACAATAAAATTTGGTCTAAAGAGTAGTTCCAGTGGCTGCTGGGTGGCTCAGTCAGTTAATCATCCAACTCTTGATTTCAGCTTAGGTCATGATCTCTTGGTTCGTGAATTTGAGCCCCACATTGGGCTCTGCACTGACAGTGCAGAGCTTTCTTGGGATTCTCTCTCTTTTTCCCTCTGCTCCTCACTCTCTCTCAAAAATAAATAAATAAACATAAATAATTAAAAAATGAACAAATAAATAAAAATATTTTTAGTTAAAAAAGGAAATATTAAAAAAGAATAGTTCTATTAAAACACAGAAGCATGAAAATATTGGTCATAACTAAAAGAACCATATTAAAACTATATTTACTAAGGAATGCCACCAAAAAACAATAATAATTGAGATAAAGTCTCATATTTTCATTGCTTTTGAAAATCAAATTAAACTAGTACTATAAGCAACACAGTATAAAAGGAATGTTCTGCTGAAAGAATAGGATGAATTCTTGCACTTCAAAAATACTATTTTCCCATAAAGCTCTACCATGAGGATTTATAATTGGCAATTCCTCATATAGTGTCCTATTTATCAGTGAAACAAATTATGAAACTATAATGCCCCAAACATTCTGTATTTCAAATTATTTACTAATTCAGACTAAGCTTTTTTCAAATTAGTCGGAATGAATGACCTTTGCTTATGAAGTCAAAATGTCTTTTATTTGAAAAAAAGGTTGAAATCTTATGATTCAGGGAAATTAAAAAGTTTATGCTTAGTTAAACACATTGCAGTTAATTTTTAAAAATCAGACAGTTTAGCAGTAGAAATGGTTGAGTGGGTTTTTTTTAAAGACCCCACTCTAGGGAAGATCAATTTGTAGATAAACAGCCCATACCCCGCAGCACTGCATAGCTAATATCTAATGCGTGGGAGTAGGTTAGAAGCAGCTCAGACTAATGAGGGTAACCCACATGCTCTAATCACCCAGACTTGCACAAAGCAGACAAATAGCAGAGAAGCAGGGAGCATTCAATTTATTTCTAAATGATTCCTGCCTTTTTGGTATTCCATAGTGTCACCAAGTAGATGGTAGTGTTAGGTATTTCCCCTAGCTGACTGACTATGGGCCATAGATGGACAAGATGCCTTTTAATTCAGCATCAGCACAAGAAATTGTAAGGAGTCACTTCCTATTGGCTGGGAAGCTGCCTCTCATCTCCTCACCTTATTTGGAGGTATACATGGGAGGCCACAGCTTACAGACTCCCAGGGACCACTCAGCCTGCCTGCTTTGGGAATCCCAAGATCTCTGAGCTCCCATAGGGGCTCAGCATTTTTGTTGTTATTCTCTTTACACTTTTTAAAGATCAATTCCAACGTAAAATCCTTCCAGAAATGCTTAGGCTGAAGAGGGTTGTTGGGAAAACCAGTAGAGCTTGATACATTAGAAAAAAAACACACATTTTAATGAAATCTGGGGTAAGGCCTCTCTGAAATTACATTTTACTTTTTGTGATACTCAGGGTGTGGTTGGAAAAATTGTTTCTTTCCCAAAGTAGAAATATATATATATAGTTCTATTGTGTTATTGTTTTATTGTTTATGTGTATGTACACACACACACACACACACACACACACTCATTGTAAAAGCCTTCAGACAACAATTCAGAAATCTATAGAGAAAAGTGTTAGTCTTCCATTCAGGGATAACAATGGTTAGTGTTTTGGTATAAAGTTTTCTAGAATTTTTTATGGCTTTACAAGCATTCAGGTAATTATAGGGTATTTTAGTAGGGTGAGTCTACAAACACTAGTAATTTTTACATACTTTCTATATGAACAGATCATCTTCACCATAATTTTTCATTGTTTCTTTGTATTCCATTGAAGAATGTACCATTTGTGGTTATTTCCAATTTTTCATTAATAGAAAGGATCTTCTTAAACATATGTCTTTGTATATGTGTCTATTTGTTTCTTGGCTATGAATAGCTAAAATGGAATGGTTGTGTAAAAGAACATGTACTTTAAAAAAAATTTATAACACTTGCAAGATTGCTCTCCAAGACAGTTGTATCGATTTACCTGGCCGCCAGTATTGTGAGTGGGTGCCCATGCCTCCACACCCTTGGAAATCATACAGGTTAGGAAAATGGAGGTTTAGAAGAGATGTACTTCCATTCTATGAGCTTAGGGGAATGGGAAGGTTCATGTGGACGATGCTGTTGTGTTCCTGGTTGCTGAAGACGGTCACCATCACATAACTAGGGCCTTCATTCATTTGCCAGATGGTAAACTCTAGTTTCCCTTTCATAGTGTACTGTCGTATCTTAATTCTCCTGTGTTCTCTCTTAGATTGAGGAAGACACATGGCAGAAATACTACTTGGAAGGAGTCTCAAATGAAATGTACACAGAATATCTCTCCAGTGCCTTTGTGGGTCTGTCCTTCCCTACTGTTTGTGAGTAAGTGACCATTAACCCTGTGCCCTTTGGCTCCTAGGAGTATTTAATGTGTCCTTCGCGGGGAAGACACCTCACCCCTGCCCAGCACAGCTGGGGTACTCGACAATTACCGAGGGTATCCTGTGTACTCTGTCTTGTGTGGGGAACAGAAAGGTGGGTCATCACATGGTCTCTGCCTTGGGAATTGCTGTTGGCCCTACTTTCCCCCACAGCTCTGAGAACCTTATACCTGGGTCCATCATTTGCATTAAATTATGAACCACAGTTTCCCTGCATGTCTTGAATTAGGCTCCTGTGGTGTAGACACAAGTATGAAGGGGTGACAGGAACCCATGCTCTGATTTTTCCAGGATAAAAACACATCTTGCTAGCTCCTTCAGATCATAGAGACATCAGAGAAGCCCTTATTCAAAGTGCGTTCATGTTTTGCTGAGGAAATGTGGGACCCAATGTACGGAAGGAGGACTTAGCTCTTAGCACTTTAGCGCCCGACAGGGACAACCGCCATGCTATGACATGAGAAGGCTTAGCTTTTCCCTCTATTGTCTAGCAGGGCGGATCTGAGAATGAGGGCAGCCCCTGCCAGCCATGGCCCCTCAAAGTAGCATAGATGATCATTTAAGGGATATAGACTCAAGAGTTACAAGGGTCCCAGCCCTCAAAAAACTTCCATCATCACGATGCCTCAGATTTTCCATTTAGAATCTCAGATGTTGGGTGCAAGTCAAACAGGAGTTTTGTCCCCTCTGAAAGCATAAACTCCCTGGCAATGCTGAAACATTAAGCCTGATCCTTTGACACTTTAGCAAAAGATTTGATGACCTCAGTCTCACTGATAAAATCTGGGAAGAAATCGGAGAATCTTGGAACTATTGGACTGAGGAAGAAAAGCTGTTCCCCTGTGCTGATTGGGTGCCTTCAAACGAAGGAGCCTTTGGGCTCCTCTGTCTTCTAGCTTTCCATTCTGTTCACAGCAGAGAGGGGACAGAGCGCCTGGGAGGTGCTGTTTACCTGGAGACTCCTGTCACTGAATGCAGCAGGTGTACTCTGTCTGTCCCTGGGCCCAGACCCTAAGCAATCCAAAACAGTTTGGCTCTCTACTGAAATTTCCCACCCTGTCTCTAAGCGAAAGTTTAAACACTAAATGGACTGGAAAAGTGAATAGGTAATTGATTTGGAAGGAGTTATTTTCTGAAAATGGATGCCCTATTGTAACTCCCATGCTCTCCTTTCTTTGAGAGCTATTTCTCTTTCTGCCATAGAAAGAAGTTAACCATTCAGAGGCCTCAGGTCCTGGAACACTGAGGCTGTCCCAGGAGATTTTTCTCCACCTCGGGATTTGGCCTGCCAAAGATAGAAAGCCCAGGAGAGTTCAAGCCTTTTAATGGAGGCTGGTTCTATTAACAAAAGAAATGGAAGCCTCCTATGTATTGTAGGGGTGGCCTGAGCACACGGCAAAGCTGCCAATGCCCAGAGGGGTCCTACGGCATTGGGAGCATTAGCAGAGGTGTGTGTGAAGATGCCCTCCTTGGCTGTTGATTTTTCCTGGCTTGACCAGTGTTTGTATCTACCATGAGTGCTTCCTCAGAAGCCTGCATTCACAACTACTTTTCTTACTCTGCTCCTGGGAGCCAAGTCAGTTCATTTTAAGAGCATTAACCCTCAAGATTAGAATTGCTCCCCCTAGAGGCTGCAACTGGGATACCCACAATGTAAATTTGACTCCCTTATGCGCCCGATACAATATTTCATTTCTTAACTGTTAGTTGCTAATATCTCAAAATAGTGGGATTTCACATAAAAACTAGGTTTCTGGCCTCTCCTGAAAACCTGATGTCCACTTGCATTTCTACCAGATGCTTGCTGGCTCTAACTGGTTGTAAAGAAGGGGTTAGGGTAGGTCCTCACCTCTCTGTTGTCTTAAGCCAGGCCAGATCTGCACTGATAACCCCAGACCTGGCCCTGCTACCATGTGACTCTGTCAAGAACTCCCTGGTTGGTGTGAAACTTCACTGCCCTTTGGAGCCAGCTTAAGAGCTGGACACTAGCAGCTGCTGTAAATATTTTCCTTGATGGATTTGCATGTTTAGAACATGTCCTGAGTGGGAGAGAACCTTTCAGACACACCTTGTTGTCAGAGAATTTAATATTTGTTCAGCAAAGCTTCCAGAATACAAAAAAAAAAAAAAAAAAAACCCACAAACTTCTGATGTGAGTGAGAATGTGTTCAACTTAGTGCTATTATTCGTTTAACACAATGATACAGCAGAGGTAGGAATAATCAATAAAGAAAGGACATTTAATGAGATTTAGGAACATCCCAAAACATTGAAGCTCTCTTCAAGCATTTGATTATCTGGAGGCTTAATTATCTGTGTTTTCTACTTTAAATTAAAGAAAAGCCATAACTCAAAGTTACCAGCAGTTTAATGATAACACTCTTCAATTCAGGTTAATTAAAGCACAGCCGTAATTAGAGTGTAGTGTTGTATATCACCGGGCTGGCGCATAAGTATTTTCATTACAGTAAGAATTGGCTATTCAATTTCAAGATGACATAAAGGACGCCGAAATATATTTTAAGCTGGTTCATGTGGAAGAAAAAGAATTGGGGAATATTCTGGGTACAATAAAGCACAGATAAAATATACAGATTTTCAGAGTGGTTTCTGTAATTATGTGCTGCATTAAAACAATATGCAGCCAATAACGTCTTAAAGCATGAAAAGAAATAAATTTGCTCTTCCCCTGGGCTGGCAGTGTGCCCCCTTGCAGGGTGGAATCACCACCCAGGAGAGCTTGGAGTTTTCTCAGAAGCCAGGAGAGCCGTTCTGTGAAAAGATAAGGGAGCAGGATACACCGATGAAATTTGAAGTTATTTCCCCAGAGAACAGAGTGGGGGAGGAGGAGAGGCAGGAAGGCCAGAGGGCCCCCACAAGGCAAGCTTTTCAAACATTTCTAGTGGAGAGATGTTGTCTCTTGTCTGGGGGAGACTCACACCAGCTGTGTCCTCGGACTTACAGGCACCAGCCTTGTGGCCTCACCGTGTGCATCAGTGTGCATCGGAAGATGCCTCTTTGTTCCAAAACCAGTCACTAATTTAGACAGAATGCAGTATCATTTCTAAGTATTTCATTTATGTTTTCTCATTTTATCCTCACAACAATCTTGTGGTTTGTATTAATGTCACACTCCCTGGTTTATGAACAAGGACACTGGGACTCAGAGGATGCTGGTGCCCCTCCAAAGCCACCTAGTGCACAAGTGACAGAGCCAGGGTTCTGATGCTGGTCCTGTGTAACTGAGAGCAGCTTGGAAGAGCTGCTGGAGGAAAGCTGGCTAATTAAGAATCTCCTGGGGAGTTTACTAAGTGGAGAGATTTCTAGGCTCCATCTCCAGATTTCAGTATTTGGGGCAAGTCCCCCACATCTCTACTTTTTTTTTCCAAGCAAAAGCAGGTGACTCTGATTCAAAGCCTGATGTCTGGGACTCTCCTCCCCTCCCCCCCCCCCCACACACACCTACCTCATCCCTCCACACCACAGGCTGGAATAAACTTCCCTTACTCTGCAGTTTGGGCTCAGTCACTGGAATGTTTCTCTCTGATTTTAGGCAAATCATAGAATTATAGGTGGGCCATATTTGACCAGCAAATGCTAAGATTTGGGCTTTTGTGTGAGCTTCCATGCCATCATTCCTGCTTCACCTAGAGTATTCTTCAATCTCCCGGAAGATAGGCTGAATCTACACCCTGCCATGCCAGGCAACCCCCTGACTGCTCTGCCCTCTTTTCATACCTTATCCAAATCAGTATAGGAAAAAGGCATTGGGGTACTGAGCCCTTTACTGCTCTTGGTCAGGTAGGTTTCCACTGGGCATTATGAGAGCAACTTCAGGCTGTGGAGAGCAGAGAAGTGCTAAATGCCAGGAAGCAGAGAGGAAGCAAGGACAATTCAGGATGCAACCCACAAAGGGTTGTTGGCATTGTTGGCAAGATCCAATGCCAAGATCGTGGTGTCCTAGACCTTTCCCCAGGATGCCCTTAGAGTGTTCCTTTTAAGAGCCAACAATTCCTAAGCAACTCCCCTTCATTTTGCATAGCTGGCTTGCCCCTGGGTCTATGTGACAGCACCATAGAGACAAAGGAGCTTTGGGATCTGAAAGAGAAGGTACCATCCATTATTCTCTGAACACCACCAAACCACCTGGTCCCTCTCCTTCCCACCCCCCACGTTTCCCAGCAAGTGACCATGGAGGGTGCAAGGGGCCAATGCCAAGCCTGCAGCAATCAAGGAGCTGCACTATGAGGCCATGTTTGCCACTAAAGGGTCATGTATTTGTACGGTTCCCATAATAGGATACCGTTTGACACTGTAGAGTGTGACCTTGAAATCGCAAAGGCCCAGGCTCACACCCCCAGATCAGCCACTTGGTGGATGTGTAATTTGGGACAAGATATTTGATTTCTGCATACTTCTTTCCTCAGATAGTTACCAGCTGCCTGACTTTGGACTTGGTGTTTACCCCAGTATCCTCATCTCTGAAATAGGAATATTACTTATTTCTCAATACTACTGACATCCTTTCCATCTTCCACCTCTCCTCTTCCTACCTCTTCCAGTCCTGTCCCATCAAATACAATGTCAGCAGCTAGAAAGAAAGGGATTACATTGTGGCATTTCCAGGTTATATTTACTCTTACCCTTTAGGAAAGTTCCACAGTCAGTCAGTGGTCAATCAGTCACCAACCAGTCAATCGACTAGATTTTTAATAAACTTAGGATATATGTGCCAGTGTGCCAGGCATGGTGCCATCTCTAAAGGAATCTGCAATTAGATTTAGTCAAGTATGCACACCGTTAAAGGATTAATGACAGTACTTATAAATGAACAGTAAAGAACTCTGTTTCCCTACAGTGGTTTTCTTCAGAGTTCGGAGTCTGGCTAAGATAAATAGTATCCAGGGCACCTGGGTGGCTCAGTCAGTTAACCATCCGACT